TTTTTTTCCCCAGTGGAGAAACAAGCAGTAGACATGAGGCATTCTGCTGCTGACTTGTACTGGTTTAGATGGTACTGGTGTTTCTTAGGACACTTGTGAGATTGCCACCACAAGTTTCAATAAAAGTTGATAAAATTAGGAAAATATGGAAAGATTTTAGATGTTAAATTGATACATAAACAAAGTTAATAAGACATGCCAGTGCATTGTGGGAAATATATATCTGAATCTTATGTATTTTAGATAGTAATGAGAGGGTATTCTCTTCAGTGTTTTTTTCTGAATAGTATCTTTTACATTTAGTAGACATCTTGTTCTGCAAGGTCAAACAAAAACCAAATGTTAAAAGGATAACAGTTTGCTACAAAGATTTTGCTGAGAAAGAGGATCTTTAACAGTCCACACCATCAAAATTCATATGAACTTTCATTCTGATTTTTGCTTAAGGAAGCTTATGATTATGTGCAGTAATATAAAAAGATTGGTCAGAATCAAACCTGGCAAAGAAGAGTAATATTAATTTAGTGTTCTCTCAATCTGATTCAAGAACTGACCAAGAAATGAATAATCAGGAAAGATGTGCTTAGATAATTTGACCAGAAAGTGATAATATTAAAGCTTATATGTATATGTCTTGTGTATAATTGATCATTAATGTTCTGGCCAGTTCTCTGGCTTTCTTGTTTTATTTTTTTTATGGAAAATCCTGATTCAGCCTGTGAACTAGAATTTCCTGACTTTTCAAAGCTGCAAATGTATTTTAATCTCAGGTTATATTTTTGGTAGTTTAAAAAAAAATACACATAGAAGTGTGCAATAAGTGATGGTTTCACAGTTGACACTTTTTAAGTGATTCATGTGAGTTCCTTTGGTAATCCATGTATTGGCAGTTAAAAGCAATGACTCTTGAGAGAAATCACCGTATGCCCAGCATACCAGCAGTAGACTAGACCACACCCTGACAAAGAACTTCTGTGCCTGGAGAGAAACGAAGGAAAAAGGTGTAATCAAATACCAGAAACACATTTATGCCAATGCAGGCAAAACAGTGACTTTGCACAGCTACCTATTCCTCCTTACGCTGTGGGACATTTGCCAATATTACCCATGTTTCTGTGTAATTCCAGAACATCAAATGGCAGCAAGCATAGTGTTCCTGCCTGCAGAGCTCTGCTAAAAATATCCCCAGTTTGTGCTGAATATCTGGTTAGAACAGCTTGCTGAACTCTATCAATTAGCCAGATC